AGGGTGCGTCCCGATGGAGAAAGAAATAGCGGAACGGAACAGTAACGGAAAGGAAGCAGAGTGGGGATTAACCAATCAGAATGATTCCGTTCCGCTTTTTCACACCCGGGTTCCCCATGGTAAAACAATTCTTTCGCATCCGTAGCGGAATTGAGTGGAATATTGTTGAGAAATCCAACATTGTGTGGAATTAAACGTGGATTTATTTAAGACATTTGTGCCCGATATTAAAACGATTTTCCAATCGTGCGTGGAAGATAAGAATAAATGTAAGTTTATCTATTATTTCTATGCATGTGTGCTGTGTACATATATACACATTATCCTTTACCATGTCCTTGAAATTAGCGACACAGTGAGATATGACGTCAAATTCTGCAACAAGCATTTATTTATACACATGTATTTTGCATCTTGATAGATAATTTAGGAAATGCGACAATTTAATAACCTTAAAACATACTTTGTTCGTATATATGTACACAGCACACATGCATAGAAATAATAGATAAACTTACATTTATTCTTATCTTCCACGCACGATTGGAAAATCGTTTTAATATCGGGCACAAATGTCTTAAATAAATCCACGTTTAATTCCACACAATGTTGGATTTCTCAACAATATTCCACTCAATTCCGCTACGGATGCGAAAGAATTGTTTTACCATGGGGAACCCGGGTGTGAAAAAGCGGAACGGAATCATTCTGATTGGTTAATCCCCACTCTGCTTCCTTTCCGTTACTGTTCCGTTCCGCTATTTCTTTCTCCATCGGGACGCACCCTAAGATCTGACTATTAGCGTATTCGATTTACTGATTCGACCCGACTCCGAGTCAATAGTCTGTTCTGTTTAGCTGCAAAAGAAGAGCTAAATTGTGTAAGAAATGCAACTAAAAAGAACAGACTGTTGACTCAGAGTCGGGTCGAGTCAGTAATCGAATACGTTATATGAATACCGGCCTTAGTTCTTTGTTTGTCAGCGAATTTTCGATCGATTTTTAGCGTGGATAATGTAGAAATTGATAGAAAGTATTAAATTACGCATATAATGTAGAGATGGCGCCACATGAAGTATAATACGTATAAAACTAAATGATGTATTATACTTGTATAATACCATGTATAATACTATGTAAGAAACCTCGTGTATAATACGTGCCCAACCCTGGACCCAGTACAGTGAACTAACTTTTGCACTGAGTATCGCTACACCTCGAAAAAGAACAGAGTACATGACGTCATTTCGTTAGTGTACACAAAAAGAACGATGTAGTGTACAGGGGCTCTATTCTTGAAGAGAAACGTATACGAAAGTCTAGGGAAATACTATAGTATACGTAACGTATACTGTAGCATTTCCCTAGACTTTCGTATACGTTTTCTTTTCAAGAATAGAGCCCCAGGGTGTTACAGATACATACTAGACAGTACGACGGGTTGCGCGGCAAACTTTGCATGGCCAAGCGTGGTTTAATAGACAATGACAGTGACTTTATAACATAAACTTTATAATATAAATAATAAAACTTTGTAGTATAAACTTTATAATGTATAAAGTCACTGTCATTGTCTATTAAACCACGCTTGGCCATGCAAAGTTTGCCGCGCACCCCGTCGTACTGCCTAGTATGTATCTGTAACACCCTGTACACTTCTTGAACTAGTGCAAGCAGTGCAGAGAAAAAAACAAACCTTATGCAAGTTTATGTGGAATGGCCCTTAAGCCGTAATCACACTAGCGATTGGCGATTGTGATTGACGATTGAGGATTACTTTTCAACCAATCGGAGCAAAGAAATCGGTGACTTTCAGGCTCTGATTGGTTGAAAAGTAATCCACAATCGTCAATCACAATCGCCAATCGCTAGTGTGATTACTGCTTTAGGACTGCTGCACACAATGCGTGCATTCGTTTATGCAACGGTTAGTGCAGAAGTAATACTTTATCCTTGTTGTTCACCGAGTGTTGAACAAAGATTAAATAATACTCACTGCGTTAACCGCTGCATAAACGAATGCACGCAATAGGTGCTTTCCATTTGATGACCTAAGTCGACAAAAGTCGATACAAGTGTTGTTCTATCTTTGTCACTCTCTGAATGTTAACAAGGATAGAACAACGCTTGTGTTGACTGTGTCATCAAATGGAAAGCATCCAAAATTCCGTAATAGTATGCGTAAGACGCAAACTTAAACCGATGCATCAATTAGGATACTGCTTTAAGCCAGCGGCACACGATGCTTTTTTTCCTGCTGGATTGCTAGCTGGATTTGCGTGCTTGCTGCCGTGTTAGCAGTGCTATTGGCTGTGTTGCTAGTTTGGCTTCAGACGATGCGAGTTTTAGTACTGGCTGAGCAACTGGAATTTATTACAAGTACATAAAAATTCCTAATCTGAGCCCTGAGGAGTCATGAACTTTACCGATAAATATTACGAGGTAAACGTGACCAGTATTCTATTGCACAGTCAGCACAAAATATTGTATTTTTGAATTTTGCGTACTCGCATGTGTTTACACGCTTCCCAGCGGCCATCTTCAAATGAAGCGGCGTCGTGATTGGTTCTACAATAAGCCAGCATGAAATCAAGCAAGAAAAATAGCACCGGTTCTATCACGAAAATCCAGCGGATCAGCCAGCAGCGGGGCCTGCAAGCCATACAATTTCCAGCATAGTAGCCAGTCAGATTGCCAGCACAGTAGTACGCAAGCAATCCAGCAGGAAAAAAAGCATCGTGTGCCGCTGGCTTTAGATTATGTAATCTAATGGAAATGGAAATAACAGTAAAATTATCCATAACCTCGCAATAAGGCGAATTTCAACCAGTTGATAAGCCCGGATCCTCAAACGGGTAACAGCGCTTTGACACAGAGCTCTGATTGGTGAAAAGCCGCTTGTGGGGGTAAAATTTACGCCCATCACCCGTTTTTCACCAATCAGCGTTCGGTGTCAAAGCGCTGTTGCCCGTATGAGGATCCGGGCTAAGTTTACTGCTATTTCTATTTCTGTTAGCCCGGATCCTCATACAGACAACAGCGCTTTGACACCAAACGCTGATTGGTGAAAAGCTGTTTGTGGGGATAAAATTTATCTCCATCACCTGTTTTTCACCAATCAGCGTTCGGTGTCATAGCGCTGTTATCCGTATGAGGATCCGAGCTTATGCTGGATTCACACTGGATTCACGTCGGATTCAGCAACTGTCTGAACTGGTGCACATTGTGCAAGTTGAGATGAAATAAATGTATATCTGTTTTGTTTCAACTTATTGCACTGTGTAGAGAAAAAGAACAAGCCTTAATAAGGGAATGCCGGAGGGACCCAATTATCGTTATTGCAGTTTGATAAAAATCTTCAAATTGACTAAACAAAGTAAAAAATCCTTTTATAGGATCAAAGTAAACGCAAAATCCTGATGTGGTGTAGTAGATGTTATACTAAAATCGAAAAAAAGTAAAAAACTTTTTTAACTTTTTTTTATTTTAGTATAAAATCCATTGCACCACATCAGGATTTTTTAAATTAAAGGCTTTATTAAATTGCTGCTTCGTTGCTTGACGCAGTAAAGGCCGTTCTAGAATAAGTTGCAAACACCCCGTTGCCAGTTGCGGAGTGACAAGTTGCCAGTCACAAGATGTAAATCATTGCAACACCTAAGGGTCGATTCTGTATCTTCAAATAAGGTGAAAATTACAAAAGTAAGCAAATTTACTAGGTGTTGACCAATGAAATTATCAGTATTCTAGTAAATTCGCTCACTTTTGTAATTTTCACCTCGTTTCAAGATACAGAATCGAT